GTTGCAAGGGGTTAAGGCCACTCTTGTGCATTTTGATGTATTTTAATACTTCGGTTGTCATACAGTGGCAAAATATACGTAATATGTTTTTTATCAGGTATCGACGTTCAGGAAGGCATCTTTCCTTAGCGCCCATTTGAGACTAAATCTTAACCTAATCAAAAAATAATTTTTGCTCGCTAATTTACTGCCATCTAGCTGACTACAGCCAAGGTATATTTAACACTTGTAAACAAAAGTCTAACCGGTAATGAATCGAACCGGTGTTTCGGTTACTCAGTTTCGTCACACAGACTTACTCCAGAGCATGGCTTATTGGTTGATTAGTTGACAGTTCGAATAATAAGCTTCTTTCCTGCGGCCCAGAAAAGCGCTCTAACGAACGTATTCTATCTGATGAAGTTGCTATGACCCAACTTGAAGCGCAAAGTGAATCTGTACCCCCTGGCTATTTACTTCGTGCCGTACTTGTTATTGTTCGCTTTAGATTGGTTATCAAAACAGGATTCATTATCAAAAAAACTCGTTAGTTAAGGCCTCGTCATATGGATAGAAGAAAAATTAAACTTCACATAAAAACTCTATGCCGCACATTGTTTCAGTCAAAACCCGTCGATTTACACCGTTCTGGTCGGTTCAACACATTTGCGTAACGCGAGCCGCGTCGACATTGTCAAGATATATGTTCATCCGTTGTTCAACAAAGTCATGCCCAGAGCGTACGACGTGGCGCTTTTGAAGCTCTCAGAAAATCTGGATATGGGTCCTAACGTAGGACTACTTTGCCTACCAGTAGCTCCCCCGACAAACATGGAGAAATGCACGGTGGTCGGGTGGGGGTACTTGAGTGAAGGTAAGGCGTACCGCTGTAGCGACGTATCTTAGTTCGATTCACTGGCTTTTAGATGGAATTCCTTCAGATAGCCTGCAGGAGATTCAAGTTCCGGTCGTGCCCAACGTCGTTTGCAATGACATTTATCACTACGCGGGAATGGTTCACAGAACAATGCTTTGCGCAGGCTACGACGAAGGTATCAAAGATGCGTGTCAGGCAAGTTTCACACGATCTCTTTCTGTGCCTCCGCTGACGTGTTTCTCTTAAAGTTGCGATTTTGCACCAAGTCTTCTATTCGTCAATGACTATATAGCTTATTGTCGCTTAGCTTGCTCCCTGTGGCTACTGTAGTAGAGACGGTTCAGTGCCATTTTAGAATGTGTGGCGTTTGACGACGTGGCAACAATAACACATGAATCAATCATTGCACGTGTCGCCTTTTAGACGAATAACACTG